CTGAACTAGAGTAGAAGGTTTTTTTTTTTAAATGGGCAGAGACTTGGGGCGGTTTGGGACACTCTTGAAAAGTTCTGACATTAGCGTCATTAGAGTCTCAGAAGACGAAAAGTTGAACAGTGCAGAAATAAAATAATTGAAGAAATATTGGTTGAAAACATCTCAAATACACTGAAAGGCATTAATGTATAGGCTCAAGAAGATCAGAAAACTCCAAATAGGATAAAACCAAAGAAATCCATGCCCATAATCAAACTACTGTAAGCTAAAAACCAAGAAATAATCTTGAAATCTGCCGAGGAAAACTTAGAAGGCAATAATGATTTGAAAGACTACATATTTTTATCAGAAAGCATAGAAGCCAGAAAGGAGTCACTCAATATTTTTCAAGTGCTGAAAGAAAAGAATTGTCGATGCAGAATTCTATATCCAGTAAATATATCCTTTAGGAATGAAGGTGAAATAAAGACTATCCGGTGAAGAAAAACTACGACTTCACAGTCAGCAAACTTGCTCTAAAAGAATTGCTAAAGTTCCTCAGACAGAGGGAACTGATACCAGAAGGAAACTTGGACACCAGGAATGAAGAAAGAGTAACAAAAATAGTAAATTCCTAGGTAAAATAGTAGACAATTCTCCTCTTTAGTTCTTTAAAATTTGTTTGACATTGGTAACAAAGTTTGTAACATTGTTTGATGAGATTATCCATACATGTAGATGTAATGCAAAAGACAAAGACAACATAAATGAGGAAGGATAAAGGAATCTATATGGCAATAAGGTTTCTACACCCAAAATAATAAAATAAGGATTCTAAAAGTAATAAATGCAATACAGGAACTATGTATGTTCTTGGTCCTGAAACTTCACTGTGTTTATCTACTATGGACTATTTTTTAATGACTCTTGATCTTTTTACAAGAGTCTGTCATTCCTGGACTCCCTTCTTCCCCTAGTGAAATTCTACCTCTTCTTCAGAACATGGCTCAGAGGTTATCGCCTCTGTAAGAAGTATCCGGCTTCCGCTGGGAGTTGCATGTTTCTTCTATTTCCTTTGTCAGCCTCAACATTTTTTCTTACTTTGTTACAACACTTAGAATATAATTAATTTTTTTTTAAAATAGTTTAACTTTCTGGGAAACTTTAAAGGGAATAAATTATTTTTTTAGTTGTTGTATCCCTAGGGTCTAGCCTAGTATTTTGCTGTAAAGAAGATGTTCAATAAGTACTCGCTTGTTGTGTGAGTAAATGAATACTTAAAAAAAAAAGACTGTTGGGATATAATTACCATTGTTAGCATGAATCATTTAAAGTCATTCATAAGAACCAGATTACATTTACATTTCTTTAATATTGGTCAAAGAAGTAGTTATGCTTTCATAAAGGCAAAGCCATAGGGACATAAGCCACCAAAAATGCAAGAGTGCCATCTATTGGTGAACATGTAAACAGATAAGCCACCAAGAAGCCATGTAAAATATATTTACTTTCAATAATGTGTCCCTTCTGTAGCTTGTATAAAACGTGAAAGAAAGATGGAAGCAGAATTGACAGATGTTGTATGGTATTTTCCTGGAAAAGAGCTTATCCTAATAATTCATGCAAAATACAGTAATTTTTAAAGGCAAAAAAACACAAAACCCATAAAACACTGCAACAAGAGACCCTATACAAGATTGAAAATGATTTCCACCTCTGCCCTTCTCTTCCCTGTGATCATCTGAAAAGTTTGTCCTCAAGATCACATTTGTAGTGTGCTCTTATCAAACCTCTGCTAAGCCCTCCTTCCTAGAAGCCTAGTTCTTCTCTTTCATTTTCATTTTCTCCCCGTCCAAATCATTAATATATCCTACGGGTGTGAGAGAAACAGCTCTCTGGGAAAGCAGTAGCCACCATGGATTCTGGTATTTTCCAGTACTGTTTGCCATGCTAACTTGCCTACCACCACCAACAGACACACACACCACAGACACACCCTATCACACATCTTACACAAACACAAACCATATATCACACTCTACATCCTGCACACCCCACCACACTCCTCACAACACACACTCGCTATAGTTCCTTGCTGGTAGCAGCAGCTTGTTTTCTTTTGGGCATTCATTAGCCTCCTTTTCCCGATCCTTTGACAGGACAAATTTGAGATGAGCTGTGCCTGTGTCCAGGGTCACATCCACAACAGTGAAATTCATGGGAATCTGTACGGCATCACCCTCAGATCAGGGACTGGGGGCTCGTTCTTTCTCTTCTGTCTGTGTCCTGGTTGCCTCTGGAGTAGATCTGTCCTGCATTGTGTGCGGGACCTGCCACCACAGGATGTGCCTGGGTGACATGAGTCACCTGGAGGCAAAATGGCAGAGGGTTCCTTGAGCCCCCAGGAGGATGCAGTGCTGAAGATAGACTCCTATTTGGGTGGGAGAGAGGAACTTGTTTCACAATTTTGCCTCCAGCCTGAGCTGCTGGACCAGCAGAACTGTGGCTGCACCTAATTCCTCCCAGGCTCCCTCTGCGGGTCAGTACCTGATCCACTGAGTTAGAGGCTCCCAGTTGGCCCCAGGCAGCTCTCAGAATCCAAATTTAACTTCTCCTGCCTGTGTCCTCAGCCTTCGTCCTGGCTCCC